TTAAATTTTCCTCTTACTTTTGATTTATTTGATGTGTTGGATTTTCTATTTGTATTACAGGCAAAATCAGAGTCAATCAGGTTTTGCACTGATTAGCGAGAAAAACGAATTTGCTTAGTTGAACTAAAGTATTGCTTATGTTTTAAGGAAATTATTGCATAAGTTTGATAAAAGAAAAACGAGAAAGAATTTTCTTTGCTTTATCATAAGTTCTGAAGTATTTGTATTATTAAATAGATTATTATTAGTTAATAACAGTTTTTTTGCTGTATATTATATTTGTTGTAGCTATATTTGGCTACAACTTAACTGCTAACATGGTTTATATACAATTCTTTTCCCCCTTTTTCTTCAAGTGTATTAAGCGCCAAAAAAATTGATTGTTGCTGCAGTTTTTTGTTTGCTTTTTGCTTTTTGCTTTTTGTCTCTTCCTTTTTTTTAATTTTGAATTATTTTTATTTAAGCAGCTAGCTAAGAGTATAGCTTATTTATTTCGTTATAATTTAAGCATTTTTTTTTAATTTTAATTAATTTTATTTTTTTTTTTTAAATTGTATTTGCTGAAGAATTTCGGTGAGAATTAAAAGGCATGCAAATAGTTTGTGCTTTAATGCAAATATATATATTGAATTGAAAGGCTATAAATTGGCCCTAGAAAGGAAAAAACACAACTTGATATTGGATCTCTATATCTATATATAAATAATTTTTCATGGAACTTCACAGTAATTCAATTTGGCCTTTAAGATACAAAAGTGAAAAGTGAATTGTTTAAGTTGTGCTGAGCAATCGCTAGTTAGTTGGAGTATTAAACTTGGATTTGGCTTAGTATATCGCTAGTTGAATTGTGAATAACGGAAACCGGATCATCTCAAGTGCTATTTATTGCAGCATTTCTGGATTTCTTTCCCTTTTGACCAACACGATTTTAGTTTTAGTTTAGAACAAAAGTCTTAAGTACAATTTTTGTCACATTTTTCTCGTATATATATAATTTTTTTTGCTCCATATAAGGATAATACAAACTTGTAATATAGATATATTTTAATACCATTGCACTTCAAATTGGTGTCAAGCATTTAATCAATTTCCAAGTGATTTCACAATTAATATTATTTTTATTATTATTATTAACAAAAATACGTCTAAAAATGGTTTATTTTTTCATTGATTGCTTTTATGCTGGAAACATTTACACTTAAAGTGGAGGAAATGTGCTACAACTACAGTGCACATTCAATATGAGCAACCAGCTGACTGGCAGCAAGTCAGCTTTCATATCGAACGCTCACTGTAGCAAGCCAAACGACATTTGATAAGAAACTGACTACAAAAACTCATCGCAAGCATTTCGATAAATTACTTTTTATAATTGGAAATAAATCAAAACAACGAGATATGAACACTAGGAATAATATAGAAACACAAGCCAATATCGACGAATATAGAACAGAGGTTTAAAATCAGTGGATCAAATAGAGCATAAGTAAAGCACATTGCAATAGAAAATGTACAATCGAAAGATGTGTAAAGTGAACCCTGAACCCACGTGGCACTAAAACAATTTGCTAGAGCTTCTTTTTCAGTGTATGATCAGTAAGTGATTAAAAAATAATAGATATAATAATGATATATATTCAATAATAATATATATGCTAGAAAGTCAGATTTAAAATAACTGCAATTTTCTTCTCAGACGAAAATCGATATATATCGATTAAATTAAATCAAATTTTTAATGACTCATATATAGCGGATATCATATAAATCGGATAGGAGTTAGGAATGAATGCTTTAAGCCACAACATAAGACTATTTACTTGATTCGAGATATGTGTATAAAGAAACTCAGGGTATTTGCTAGTCAGGCATTCATATAGCACGGAGTAGGGCTATCAAAATTTAATCTGTTACGAATGCAGCAAGAAGAAACATAAGATTCTTAACTTGATTCGAGATATGTTTGTAATGAAAGTGATGGAAATGAAGATAGGGTATTTGCTAGTCAGGCAGTTATATAAATCAGACTAGCGCTATCAACATAGTCTGTTACGGATGCAATATGCAGCAATATAAGAATCTAAGCTTGATTCGAGATATGTATGTATAATGAAAGTGATGTTGGGTTCAGGGTATTTGCTAGTCAGGCAGTGCTGACTATATATTATCATAGATATGGTGTTTTAACACTTGTTTTTATGAACTTAGATATTATTGATATACATATATATATATATACATATATATACATATATATATACATATATATATATATAATTTATTTATGTTTGTTTTATTTATATGATTCTACTGTTTCATACATTTGGTTTTACTGTAAGCAAAGTTTGTCAGAGTTTAGAGTTTGGCTTTAATGTTTTTGTTTTCTTTTCTCTTTGATTTTTTATAAAGCTGAACCACATATAAAATAGAAATCATTTTAGTATGGTGATTAGACTGTTTGTAGAGCAGAAAAGATATATACGAAAGCAGAAAATTAAGAAAATAGTGTATAAATTGTTAAGCATAGGTGTATAGTTCGTATAGAGTCTGTGTGTATAGAGTGTGTATAGAGAGTGTATAGAGTGTGTCTGTGTTTGTTTACCAGAGAGTTTCCAGAGAGTTTGCACGACGATGATTGTAAAATGCGATAGTTTCTAAGGCATTCAAAACGTACTTATACAGTTCTATATAAATATTGTATGTAAATATATTTTTTGGATTTCGTATTTCCATTTGAATATGTTTTAGAAAGTTGCAAGCTCTAAGTAGTTGTAGATTGCCAAAATAAATTGAATAGAAAAATTTTGATATTATTCAGTAAGGCATGCACAAAAATATCATATCATATCATATATATATATATATATCTGTTTAACAATAGTAATTAAAAAAAAAAAAAACATATTTATATATAGAGTATATATAAGCAACTTTTATTTCAATTTGTACTCCAAAAATATCCTTAAGCTGACGATGTATGTGTGCAGGCAGAACAAATATATAAACTCAAATGTTAACTAGTTCAATAATCGAATTTTAAAATTAAAAAAAATTATTTATTTTGTATATATTTTCATATTTAAATTTATAAATAAATTTGTTTGTGTTGAATATTTATTGAATATATAAATTTATCAAAGTCTACAACTGTTCAAAATAAAACAAAAATAAATTTAAAAAATAATTAATAAAAATAAAAATTATTTAAAAAAAATATAAATATGTATTATAATTATAAAAATAAATATATGTATATATAATTATAAAAATAAAAAAAAAATTAATATAATAAAGGAATTTATAAAAATAAGAAAATAAAAACAAAAATACAATAAAAAATAAACAAATATACCATTTGTTATTTTAAATTATAATAATAAGTAATTTAAATTGAGTATTTAGTAATTTATTTATTTCCTTTTATCTTAGGCAAAAATATTTCAATAATACAGTAATGAAATGAAAAAACAAATTAAAAAAAATAATTGTAAAAATATTAATGTATATATACATTTTAATATCTAAAAGCTATAAATTTCTTTAAACTGAGAAAAATCGATATGTTTATAGTCATATATCGGACCACACAAACTAGCTGACAAACATCCGGCCTTGCTCATAAACACTTCCAAGAACATTTCCATAAGCGAATCATAAACAAATCGAGCACCCCAATGTTAAAATTCCTTTTATTATTAATCAATTAGAGCGCACTAGAAATATCATTTCACTATAAAAGTTCTTGCTATAAATAACAGCCTAGAAACATTTGCAGCTTTAGTTAATACTCAATTTCGATTCAAATAACTTGTTTAAAGTAATGTAAAGTTTTTATATTTATAAAAGTAAATAGAAGTCTGTAATATTATGTGCTTAGAAGAGGATCTCATCAATTGCCAAAAGTATAAATATACAAAAGGTGCTTTTTTTTTAAGTTATACAAGTTTAAATCGAGATATAGATACAGAATATCAAGAATCTGGCTTCAAGGAGCTCTACTGCAAGTTGTCTCAACAGTGCTATAAAAGTTTGATAAACTGAGATTAAAATAAAAGATTTCTTGAATTTACAGATAAGTTATATATGAAGGAGTTAACTGAGCCATGGCCAGAGCTTAGCTAACAAAGGCAGACTTAAGAAAACTTGATCTGATTTAAGTTGCTTCACATAGAAAGTGTTCGAGTTATGGGAGTTGCGCTTTTTCTACTTTTTCTTCTGCTGCTTCTTCTTCTTCTACTTCTACCTCTTCTAAATGTTCATTGTTTACTGTGGGAGCAAACCAAACAAAAAAATTAAAAATCCAAATGAATTCCGCACACATACAAAGTTCAGCTGAAAGAATTGATTAGAATATACATAACTAAGTATGTACAGTATGTATACATATATATATATATATAAGTATATTGGGGGCATGCCACATGCAATTCGTGTCAATTGAAGGAATCCGACTTAATTCATATGAAAGTTAAAAACTTTTTAATTTGAAAATACACAAAAAGCTTCCTGACTTTGTTTTTGAGTTGAGTTATCATTATATATACATATATATAAATATATAAATGTATATATATATATACATATATATTTCGTATTTGATTAGTTCACAATAAGCAAATTTTGTATTCAATTAATATCGAAGCATCCATTAGTAGAGTATTCAGGGAACTTTGCCCTAATTTCTGGAAAAGCTTTAGCATTAGATTTAGGCATAGCGCCTAAAATATTTCATATTTTATATATTTTATGTATATTAGCATATTTGCATGTATTTCATCTATTATCGAGAGAAAAAAACGTAAAAAAAAATTTCTGATTTTAAAATTTTTTTCCATTTTTATCCCTTTTTTTGCAAGCATTTCAATAAAAATGCTTTCACAATAGAACAATTGCCTAATTTTAAGTTATATATATATATATATATTTATATAAACATACATACATATGTAATTTAAAAAAAACAAGCATTTCCTTTATTTTAATTGGTGTTTTGCTATATATATATATAAATATATATTATATATTTTTAGAGTTTTTTTTCTGACGAATTTTTGCATAACATTCCTCTGTGGGTTGCATTGTTAATTGTATTTTATTTCATCGTTGTTGCGTGTTTATGTTTTAGTTTCAAATATTTGCAATTTAATTGAATTTTCAGCCAAACAAAAATTCAAGTTCCGCTTTCAATTTGCCATGACATTTGTGTGTGGGATTTTGAGGGTCTGTTTGTGTGTGTGTTGGCTTGTTGTTGAATGTACTTAACCATTTATACTATACACATATATATATGGACATATATATATATATGCACGTGTGTGTGTGTATGCATATATCAAACCATATTTGTATTTATTGTGCACGAATTCGTTGTCTTTGCTTCATGCTTCCAACTCTTTGACAATCGCGAATTACAACTGCTGCGGTTAATCACCACCTAAACTTAACGCCTGCACTATACGTGGATCAGCTTTACTACCCTCACGAAACTCTTCCAAGGTTAGCCGATCGTCGTGATTCTTATCCATTTGATCGAAGATTTTATCCACGCGCTTCTGCGGCGTATTCTCATCCTCCGTTTGTGGCTGTTGGCCCTGCAGCAAAAAGGAAGGACATTTCGTTATTATTTATACATACAAAATATATATATATATATAATATATATATATGCGATATATTTATATATATGTATATGTTATATATATTATATACACATGGAAGTTTTTAGCTCCTGCAGCCTTTTACCTTTTTTCAGCTGAACAAAGTTCAGAAATCAAAAAGGAAAGTTTAATTATAACTCTGCTCGTTCCAGAGTCCGAAAAGGGTAAGCCATACACCTAATTTTAAGGCCTGAAGTCATCCAAATGCATGAGTTACTAATTGAAGTTGTAAATCAGACAAGAAAACTCTAGAGACAGCCAGACGTACGAACCCATTTATTTATATATTTTTATTATTATTTATTGATTATATTGAAAAAGATATTTCTAGTATTTCAACTTTTTTGACCCTAACTACTATTCTCAATAAATTCCCATATATATAAATATACATATATATATGTATGTATGTAACAATAGATTCCGTTTTAAAGTTTCACAATTCAGTTTTTGTGCTTACAGCTTGCAAATGTTGCAGCTGTATTAGTGTAAGCCGGAGAGCTTGTGTAGAGTTGTTGTAAAATGATTATCCGATTGGGTGTGCGTCTTAGCTAAAGGCTGCTTATTTCCTTGTGTGTGAGAGAGAGACAACGATAGCTGTTTCTAAAGGTAGTCCCAAGTGCTGCTCAGTGAGAGCGAGAGGTTATCTGGACAGATTCGTGACGAGAATCAGTGAACAAAGAGAAAGCGACAAGGACAGCAGACAGGGAGATCGTTATTGGGCAAAGAGATAAAACTGTAAAGAATGGAAGTTCGGCAAATTGACACAGACCCGACATATTTATTTTTATGTTATATGCTTTCATTTGATGCCGTGAGCACTTACCACCATTTGATAAATGGCATCAACAATGTTGTACATTTCCTCTCGAGTTATGTAGCCATCGTTGTCGACATCATAGAGACGGAAGGCCCCTATTGATTGAAGAGAACATATTTTCAATGCTTATTAAACTGGCCTGAGCAGCTGACCGACTTACAGTGTAATTTCTCATCAAGATTTCCGCGTGATGTTATGGACAGCGCACGTATGAATTCCTCAAATTCAATGGCTCCATCCTGGGGATATATAAATAGATAAATTAATCCAATTGCATTGCTTCCATCTGATTTACTTACATTATTCTCATCGAACACTCGAAACACCAACGAGGCAAATTTACTAGGATCGCCGTCTGGGAAAAATTGCTTATAAATTTTGATGAATCCCTGTACGCATGGAACGTTTATAATGAACAACAAGAAAATAGATCAAATCGAATAAAAATATTGCAAATATCTATTTAAATATTTGTTAATAGGCTTACTAAATGGAATCAAGACTGCAAATGTTATCGAAATTAATTCCGCTTGCAAGTACTATTTACGGAGTGTGTTTATAGAGTATCGATAATTTTGCTTTTTTTATGAATATTTATATTTTGCTTCCTTTCAAGTTATACACTATGATTTTTTCATAACTCGAAAAAATTCTAAAAACATTTTTATAATCGTCTTCAGCTGTCGCATTGATGCCAAACCAGGCGTAAGTTGGGAATATAACTGTAGAAAACAATCGAAAATCGATAGTTTTTGATCTGACCTCGTATATGTTATATCTATGAATATTTTTATTTAATAAGAATTAAACCCGCTTCAATATTAATCGATTTGCAGTCAAGATATATATAAAAAATATATGCATATAGATCTGTTCATAAAAATAGTAGCGCTGCGCACTACGCAAAACTTAAACCAATTGCAAAGTTAAAAATTAAAAAATGCCCACTTTTTGCTTAAACCATAATTTAGAGAAGTGAATTACAAATAAATGCCGTTACTTTCGGTCGGAATTTATTCAAGTTGCATTGAAAATCGGCCGTTCATAGAAATAGTAGTGCTAAGGATAGGAAAATGAAAGGAAAATCAGAGCAAAACTTATAAGGAAATTGAGAATATTGTTGAATGTAACAACTAAGATGAGACCAAAAAGTATATGTAAAACATAACATATATAGTTAAATGACTAATGTTAAATAGATTTTCCTTCTCTTTAAGTAGCCACTACTATTTTCATGAACAACCAAATTTTGTTAATTTTTTCTGTATCAAAATAAAAATCGAAATTGGCAACAAAATATTTCAATCTTAATATTCACTTCAAATTGCTTTCAATTTTTGTGTTTACAACTTAATTTTGCTGTGTCAATCGCACAACTATTTTCATGAACAGAGCTGCATAGATAAAGCACAATTAAATAGAAAGATTTTTATAAAGTTAGCTCAGATCAGTTTAATTTTATTATTGCAGTTAGCTTAGGAAAACACTTTGAAATTAACCAAGAGCAACAGAGATTAGCTGTTTAGTTTTGATTTAGTTTAACGTATATACAGTCATATTAGTTTCATGTTTCGCAGGCTCAACAACTATAATTGGTTACATGCTAGTTACATCTGATCGGAAAATATTACCTATCTCATTGATCAACCTCAAACCCAACCCCATTTTCAGTTCGCTATGAAGCAAAAACACGATTTTAACTCTGCACTAAATTTAATATCAAATAAGAGCAAAACTCATGTGGCACAAAAATAGCTGTAACATATATTTTTTAATATTATTTATTATCATTTTATTTTATTTAAAATTTATTTAAGGCCCCGGCAATACATCACTTCATGAGTTGCCTGAAAACCGCAAATACCTTTGAGTATGCTGTAAATAATATATATATATATATATATATCGAATAAAAAAATTAGTTAAAGTTCATTTGCACGACTAGCAGATACCGCGCAGCCACCTCAGTTTATAAAGTGCCCTGGCGCCTCTACACTTTGATTATTTTTTCACCTTAATGCCAACTAATAGAAGTACTTGTTAGCTTTGTTTGCCTGACGACTATCCTAGTACCAAGTTAGGCATGCCAAGGCTACTAATCGATAATTATCGATACGAAAAATGGCATTAGCGAGCAGCTAAGCGACTAGGTCACCCTAAATAGTCTCATAATCGATAGTTATCGATACTTATGCGAACGAAAGAAGACAGCGAATAGCAACTATTCTAGACAAGGTTTGATATTTAAAGACTCAGTATCGATAAATATCGATGCATAGAAATGCTAGCAAACAACAGTGCCTAGCTAAGCAGTATTTAACTAGACGATTTCAATAACTCCACACTCAGCTAATGCTTCCTTACCTACCTCCAATCATAAAAAACTTAGTCGACCCACTGTCTCAACCTATAGAAATACGTTGCTTAAAAACTTTTCTTCTTGCCAAGGATCCATTAACTCCGTGCTCTCGACTTATTAACTGTTATTATCATAATTGTTGTCTCCAGCTTTTATAATTGACTTAAATATATTAAATGCTCGCAGCCATATTGGCAATGTCAAGTGTTTGCCTCAGGGACAGACGCTGACAGAAATGTTTATTTCCACATATATTTAGTGTGGTCGATGGTGTCGCAAAATACCCCTTTGCGGACATAGCCATAGACATTGGAAATATCACTAAAAAAAAACATCGACAAGTTTCAGTGGCAGCTGCAAAGAGGCCAAAAAGCCGCAGAGCTGCGGCAACAATAATCGCGTTGGCAATGAGCGTGGCGCAAGGCCAAACAAACATTAAGCCGAAACATAAAATTTCGAGTATGGCCATAAAAAATTTGCCATGTAAATAAAAAAAAGCAGAAGAGCAAGAAAAAGAAGAAGCAGCAGATGGCATTGCTAAGTAGTTTTGCAGTTGGGCTTTTGTTGCTTTCGCTTTTGTTTAAAGTAAATTGTAAATTGTCGAGTCGAGCCAGGCCGGGCCAAACAGACTTCGTCTGGCTATGGATGTTGTTGAGGTTAATGCTTTTTAGTAGTTGGGAATAATAATATGATGTAAACATATCGCTGCTTACTTATCTTACTTACTTGTTCAGTCAGCAGACCGTTCGGGCAGTCTTTGAGAAAACCTTTGTGCCTTCGAAATGATATAGATTTTTTTGTTTTGTTTTTGGGATAGCACAGTTTAGAGTTCAGTGAGATACAGAGAACAACGAGGTAAAACAAAATAAATCCAGAGCAAAATGCAAGAAGAGACAGCCAGAGACAGACAGCGAGACAGCGAGAGAGCGAGAGCCAGAGAGAGAGGGAGAGGTAGACGTTTAAAGATTAACATTAACAGTCCAAATGTTTATAAAAAATAAAAACCACAATAGATGAAAGAAAACAATGAAAATCGAATTAAAAATTTAACATAAATAAAAGTTCATATAGTAGCTGAGTATCTATATATATATAGATTTATATATATATGGATTATGTTGATAGAGAATGAGGGAAATTTATACAAGTAAATGGATTAATGTAAATATTTAATAATCGAATGTCAACAATTTGTGTGCATTATTTAATTTAATGCTAATTATATTTTTGTGCCGACGCCAACTGATATTTACATATTGTGACGCATTCGCATTCGCATTCGCATTAGCATTCGAATTGGCCCTCATTATTGCATTAATTCAACAAAAATATCGAATTTCGAATTTCGAAGCGAATGCACACAGAGAATACACACACAGAGAGAGCGAGAGAGAGAGAGAGACAAATGAACATGATTACATTTAATTTCAATATGAAAAAGAAAAATCAAAAGAAAAATATTTTGAATGGAATGAACTCATGTGTGTAATACATACATACTCATTAAGAGGCGCTACGATTTGTGACATGTAACAAATTGCAAATTGCAAAATGCAAATTTGCTGCAACAACAAAATTCTTACCATTGACGTATTTCCTTTTCGGTAACTGCAAAGAGACGAGAGAGAGAGAGAGAGTGAGTGAGTGAGACAGAGAAGGAAACATATATTAAATACTTGAAAGGTAAACAGAGTGTCTGACTAGGAGTTGCCCTGAACGGGCACTGCTCACACATGCCTAGCCAGACAAGTGTAGAATAACTTTTCTTCTGGATGGACTTTCCTAAACAAATATGCAGAGCGTGATAATGACAGCCCTATGAGTAAGTATTTGCCAAAGCTCAAGTGTCTCAACAAGCCCATACCGTAAATTTGAATAGATATTTGAATCGATAACAGGATAAGGAATGCGTTATCGAACATAAATAATAAGTAATAAAAATAATAATAAAACTTAAAGTTTGCAGCTTTAATTTTTTTAATAGAGAATATATATAAAGTAGGGGCTCTGCCACGTCTCCTTCTGCTTGTTACATACACTTAGACACACCCATTATACCCTGTAAGCTCATTTGCAATGGGTATATAGGTATAATACTCGCTCACAAGCCAATCTTTAGATCTGTAGAGCAGCTTATCTACAATCACTGAACAAGCAACTCAGGCGAGAGCTGCTTAAGAGACGAAAGGCCCATATACGCTGTACATATGCTTCAAGGTGAGTTGATAGATGCGAACTTTTGTTAAGTTGGCAGACTCCAATTCAGGCATTGATGAAGGGCGCAGCTGGCAGGTGTATCATCAGCGGCTGCTACCTCTTGAGAGTTGTATTGCCACAGCTGTTACATAGAGAAAGAGCCGATTTGCTATATGTTTCAGAATACTCAACTAAAGCTGCACTAATTTACGGAGCACCCAACGGTTGCAGTTACAAAATCTTTGCATTCATTCTAAAGCCGATCTATGCGTCGCAGTACCTAGTCTATAGGTATTCCTGACTCTGTAGGGTATCCACAAGTCTATGTACCAATTGCACGCTTCAACTGCAGAAGAAACATTTACTTTGTGCATTGCAAACTAACCTGGCAGTTGGAAGCAGCGGACGCAAGCCCTTCGCAGGATTTTGGCTAAGTGAATTAGTAAAACAGTTGCACACCTAATTTGGAATTTACGGCTTTAATCGAATTTTGAATCATTCATGAGTTGTCTAAGCGTGCCACGGGCATAGGCAATTTAGCAGCGGGCAACGCTGTTGAGTCCCAGGCACGAGGCATGCCACATCTAGCGCACGCTAATAACAATAATATAGTAACTCTAATACCAATAATAATCGTCATAATTCAAGAGATTAGCTTTCGTCAGCGCACTGCGGCTTCGAAAGCGTCTCGAACAGCCTCCACTGACCCGAGACTCGGGCCATGCCTAAGCTGCTTACCTCTTGCCTTATCGCCAGCCAGATGGCCAAGCTGATGAACTCTCAAACAATTTGGCTCAGCCGCTGAGTTATGCCGACTTAGCCCCGGTTTGGTCGGCTTGCGGATCTCAAATATTGATGAGATGCCATTGACCAGGCTTAGGCAGCAGACCCCACTAAGAAGTTTGGCAATCGACGAGGTAGCCCGCCGGAAGCATAACAACTGCATGTGTTTGCGTGTGTGTAAAGTTGCATAAAGTTCATATCATTTAATAAATCATTTAATTTATTACCTGGTACTTCAGGTAGCACAGGTAGCGCAGTCAAAGACAGATACAACTACCGAGAGGCAGCACCCTACACCCATTAACTATTGAAGCCAGCCATATATATAGCGACATGTACATGTGTATGCGTGTGTACAACTTGTATATGTGTGTGTGCGCTTATCGCAATATAGCATACTTAAAGGCGCGTGTGCTGCATGCACGTCTGCACTCAGAAGCCAGAGCGAAGCCGTGTGCCGTGTGCCACTTTACAAATGAAAAACATTGAAAAACACGAGTAAAGCTTGTTGAGTCAAAGTAACCAACTTGTAATAGACTAAGAAAACACTACAGTTATAGAGGATGGAAGAAGGATAGCGGATAGAAGATAGAGGATAGAGGATAGAGGATAGAGGATAGAGGATAGAGGATAGAGGATAGAGGATAGAGGATAGAGGATTGAGGATAGCGGATAGAGGATAGAGGATAGAGGATAGAGGATAGAGGATAGAGGATAGAGGATAGAGGATAGAGGATAGAGGATAGAGGATAGAGGATAGAGGATAGAGGATAGAGGATAGAGGATAGAGGATAGAGGATAGAGGATAGAGGATAGAGGATAGAGGATAGAGGATAGAGGATAGAGGATAGAGGATAGCGGATAGGGATAGAGGATAGAGGATAGAGGATAGAGGATAGAGGATAGAGGATAGAGGATAGAGGATAGAGGATAGAGGATAGAGGATAGAGGATAGAGGATAGAGGATAGAGGATAGAGGATAGAGGATAGAGGATAGAGGATAGAGGATAGAGGATAGAGATAGAGGATAGAGGATAGAGGATAGAGGATAGAGGATAGAGGATAGAGGATAGAGGATAGAGGATAGAGGATAGAGGATAGAGGATAGAGGATAGAGGATAGAGGATAGAGGATAGAGGATAGAGGATAGAGGATAGAGGATAGAGGATAGAGGATAGAGGATAGAGGATAGAGGATAGAGGATAGAGGATAGAGGATAGAGGATAGAGGATAGAGGATAGAGGATAGAGGATAGAGGATAGAGGATAGAGGATAGAGGATAGAGGATAGAGGATAGAGGATAGAGGATAGAGGATAGAGGATAGAGGATAGAGGATAGAGGATAGAGGATCGAGGATAGAGGATAGAGGATAGAGGATAGAGGATAGAGGATAGAGGATAGAGGATAAGGATAGAGATAGAGGATAGAGGATAGAGGATAGAGGATAGAGGATAGAGGATAGAGGATAGAGGATAGAGGATAGAGGATAGAGGATAGAGGATAGAGGATAGAGGATAGAGGATAGAGGATAGAGGATAGAGGATAGAGGATAGAGGATAGAGGATAGAGGATAGAGGATAGAGGATAGAGGATAGAGGATAGAGGATAGAGGATAGAGGATAGAGGATAGAGGATAGAGGATAGAGCATAGAGGATAGAGGATAGAGGATAGATGATAGAGGATAGAGGATAGAGGATAGAGGATTGGATAAATGTTCCCTATATTGAAGCAGTCTATCATCTGGACTCATTGCTAAATCAAATGCTCTTCAATTGACTTCGAATACTACTCCAATCTATATCAATAGAGACACATTTGATTTGAGCTCTTGATTAGGCTTGTTAAGCAATTTGCCATCGAGAAATGTACAAAAAGTTCATTTGATATTTAGATAAATGTGAATTGCATTATTAATTGGAAAATGTAATGGCATTGAGGGTTGGCTGAAGAGCTCATGAGTTGGGTCTTGAGGCGCTGGTCGTCAGTCAAAGTCCTTGCACGCAATTCAAGTCAGCCGCAGCCATTGGGCACAAATTGAAAAGCTCCCCAGTTGCCTGGCATCAAAATATATAACTCATTATAAGCCGCACAAGCGAAAGCGGGCGGGCGAGCGGGCAGCCTTTGCGGCCCCACGCTTGACGTGCCACGCACCACCGCACCACCGTACCACCGTGCCAACATACCACCGCACCAGCATAAGCACAAAGCGCCATCGAATCGCAGGGCTCCCCTATCCCCCACACCACACACATTTAAAAGTCTACGCACGCCAACGCGTCCGCTAAGTTAGCTCCTGGGCATGTTGATGTCGACGTTAGAGGACTTTTACTGCGGCTATATGAATAATACATGTGTATGGGTATATCTCATTCTATGTGTGTGTGTGTGTGTGTGCGTGCTTACTCGTCTATATATATGCGAGTGTGTGTTTAGCGCCGCCAGCAGTAAAGCAAATTAGTTCATAGCGAGGCGAATTGAGTGAGCTACTCAAAGAACCAATTCCCTTCGCTCAAGCCAACCGACAAAAAACAAAAGCAAAAAAAAAGAAAAAGAAAACAAAATTATTTCGATTTAAATGTTTATTTGCACAAGGCGGCATTTTTTTTCTTCTGATTCAGCCATTTTGTCTCCTTTTCGCATCTGCCCGCAGTGTTTATTTAATCATTTTGGAAAAAAACATTTTTCGTTGCCTGCTTTTAGGGGCAGCCGACAAAAAGGGCAACGACTTTTGTGATTTTGACTTGGCTGCATTTGATTTAATTTTAAACTGATTATATTTAGCTTTTTCCCCATAAGCACAAAGAGACAGAGTGTGCAGGAAGGCAAGGCAGAGGCAATGGCAGACCCTGAGCCAGAGCCAGAGGCAGATACATCAACACGCACATACCTAGCTGTTGGCAAGAGCTCAGTCAGCCGTCGACGTTGCCGCCTGGGAGTGGCCACATGCTAATTAATGAATGGCTGCCAAAGGTCTTACCAACAGCTACACATTGAAAAGCCCTCCAACAAAAATAAAAAAAGCAGTAATATAATTAAGAAATAAGAGGAGTAAACAAAAAAAACTCGAGCTGCGACTTGCATGCGGGCGCATATGTGCATACGTGTGCGTGTGCGTGTGTGTGTCTGTGGCATGTGCGTGTAACGGCAAAGTTTTTGCAGCTGCTTGCCACGCTTGCCACACCAGTCCGTGTGCATGTGTGCATGCCGAATACCCTGTAAACATGACAGTCTTAAATACGCTACAAACACGCCACCTAGCGGCGCAACAAATGACCAATTAATCAAAACACCTAATTGGCATTCGATTCGACAGCGAGATAGTCCACATTAAAGAGTCACAAAAAAATATAATATATATATAAAAATATTAAAAAAAAAATATATATATATATTTACATATGTATATACATATATACACATATATATGAAGCAGAATACTTCTAGTTATAATTCCATTTATATGCGATTTATTTTGGATTTGGCATTCAGAAAGCGAATTCCATTTAATAATTAATTGGTCTGCATAATATGGAAAAACATGACTAAAAGAAATATAATATATATAACTTTTACTTTATATATATATATATATATTTGCTGTTAGTATTTCTATTCATAGGCTAAGAT